CCCGCACCCCAAAAAAAAAAAAAAAAAAAAAAAAAATCAAGTTACAGAACAGTGTGCCGAATATGCTGATATTTGCATTTAAAAGGGAGGAGGGGTCACGGGTGTTGTATTAGTTTGCTAGGGCTACTGTAACAAAATACCACAAACTGAGTGGCTGAAACAATGGAAATTTCTTTTTTCACAGTTCTGGAGGCTAGAAGTCTAAGGTCAAGGTGTCAAAAAGATTGGTTTCTTCCGAGGCCTTTCTTCTTGGCTTATAGATGGCCATCTTCTCCCTGTAGCATCACATGGTCTTTCTTCTGTGTCCTAATTGCCTAATTATGTGTCCTAATTTCCTCTTTTTATGAGGAAGCCAATAGTATTGGATTAGGGCCCACCCCATGGCCTCATTTTAACTCAGTCACCTCTTGAAAGGCCCTGTCTCCAAGTACAGTCACATTCTGGGGAACAGAGTTAGTGCTTCAGCATATGAATTTGAGGGGACCACAGTTCAGCTCATAATAGATATATACATGTGCCCAAACTAATCAAATTGTATGCTTTATGCGCAGTTTACTGTATGTCAATTATACCTCAATAAATGTATTTCAAAAGTGGAGAAAAAGAATATACATTTATATTTGCTTTTATATGCATAAAAGAGTGATTACCTTTTGCAGAAGAGGTGAGCACATAGCAGGTAGAGTTCAAAATTGAGTCTTTTAAAAATACTTAAATGTATTACTGATTCAAAAACATCACACAAATACATACTTTTAAAACATTGGTAAGGTAGTAACACCAAAGGCTCTGGGAGTTGGGAGAAGCTGCTGGGAGCTGCCGCAGGAGCCAGTTCTGACGTCACACCAGTCAGGCCCAGGCACATGAGTTCTCTGGCTCTCTGTCTTATCTGAGTCGTGGAGCTTGCTTTCTTCAAGGCTGTCAGCCATAGCCTTGACTGTCATTTCCCCATATTAATTTTGTAACTATTATGCTGACTAAAAATGTACTGTTTTGTTTTTACTTGTCCATATGGTTTTACAGTTAAAAAATGAGATTTACGTTGTTATTGTAAAACACAGCTATATCCAGAAGCAAATTATAGTTTTCAAAAGAGTTTTAGTTTGATTTACTATTTGCTTTAATTGATTGTTGTCTTACTCCTTGTCTTCTAGCCCTAATTTGAAGTCCTTTTGAGGGGTGATTGTAGCAGTTTGGTAACTTTGGGCAGATTCCTTAGCTTCTCCAGATATCAGTTTCTGCACCTGTGAATTGAAGGGATCGCAGCTAAGACTTCTTCAACCCTACGTGGCCCACACATGTGCTCCATCTGCATTAATTCACTTATACACTCTATGAGGAAAGTACTGTTATTATCCCCATTTTAAAACTGAGGAAACAAATCACAGTCACTCTCTTATCCCCTTTGTCCTCCTCTGTTTTTTTTCTATTGTATTTATTATCTTCTAATATACTTTTAAAGTAAACTTTTTCAAATCAGTGTCATCATTGTACTGCTTGCAGGGCACATTTATTTATATTATGTGAAAATGAAAGTTCATGTAACTGTTTCCCATAGACCATGAAAAGAAGTGTGAAAATGTTTGGGTTTATAAAGATTGTGCTTGAAGCTTCCTTGAGTTTGTTTCCTTGGACTGTATCGCTTCCACTTGGGCTCTGATGCTTTCACAGCCCACACTGGCTCCCTGCTGCTGGAATTAATAGTTTTCTGAGTCCCACAGCTTCCCAGTTATGGAGGTTCTACCAGAGCCCTGGAAGCTGCCCTGCATGAATTAGTACCCTACAGAGCAGCTTCCAGTGTGGGAGCTGGAAACGGGGAGGGGGAGGGAGGGGTTTGTGTAAAGTGAGTATTTTGTTTTGGTCTTTGTATAAAGAAGGGTTTTTTCCTTTTTGTTCATTACTGAGTCCCAATATGTGAGAAATTATGATTCTGTAGATTTGTTTTTAATAAGCAATGGAAAGATGCCCTTCCCACTGTTCCTGTACAGTGGACCTCTACATATCAAATGTACATTTGCTTTCAAAAATATTTGCGTAAATTACTCATTTCCCAGTTGCCATCAAACCCACATTATTTACATGGTAAGACATTCTGTGCTAAGTACAGACAGACAGACAGACATGAGAAATAATTGGTTTTCACTGTGTTTCTCCAGGAATATGCTGAGTCATCTTAGACTCTTAATGTTAAGCTAATACATGGTGGATTTTTTACTACTCTTTAGAGAATAGTAGGGTTTTCATTTGATTGTGCAGAAGAATTTAAAATGGCTGCTGAAATGTCAACCAAATAGGCATAAATATCTCTTGACCTTAAGCTGGCAGTTGCTGTGATATGGCTTTAATTATCTGTAAATGTGTTTTTAGAATTCCTTGTTCTGGAGGAGTTCACTCATATCATTGTGATATGTTGGACTCATTTTTTATCACCAACAATGGGGGAGACTCTGCCTTTGTGAGGGAAGAGGGTGTGTAGGATATCTCTGTACCTTCCTCTCAATTTTGCTGTGAACTTAAAACCACTCTTTAAAAAAAAAAATCTTTGAAAAGTATATATATTTACATCCATGAAGTGCTCGTGATATATAGGTGATCACTGAATGCTAGCTCCCATCCCCACATGGTTCCTTCTTGTACGTGTCCTGCAGCCATGCCAGAGTGTGGTCTGTCCAGCTGGGTGCTATCACTTGATTAAAAAGTATGTGATTGTCCAACTGTGCTTTCAGAGAATGACGAGGAACAAGAGGCCCTGCCATCTCTGGATAAACCTGGCTGGTACTCCCAAGGGAATGCGGTCCACCTTTATGAACTTCTGAAGAAAATGACTGGCAAACCTGAACCCAAGGTATTTTCTGACTGAGCCCAGTTTACAAGGGCTTGGAGATATAAGCCCTTGTAAACTGAAACCATAACTCTAAATGATCTGTGAGGGAATCATCTGCCTCTGCCTGTCTGCCAACCTCCTTGCCTACCTCTTCTGCTTAAATAAGCCTTTCCTTTGTTGATATACATTGAGTCTTTCTCTGTAACAGAGAAAAACAGATGTTCCAAGTAGGAGGCCACAGACCTGAGAGATACAGTGGAATAGTGTGTGGGTTACCGAGGAATGTTATCCTGATAACTGTTCATCAGGAATATTTTTATGTGTAAAACAAGCAGTAACTGATTATACTATAGACTGAAGACACATTAGCTTTTAACATCCTGGCCACATTGTTGATGTTGGACGTTGGTATATTTTTAACAGCAGGATGCTTTCTTCTAAAAAACGTTTGCCAGGAGCCCCATGAGAAGGAAGGGTCAGTGGGTCACTGAGCCCTACTCCACTGACTCGTACACTGTCACAGCCCCCTGGGGACTCCTGCCTTGGAGGTTCTAGTTCATGTTCCCTTAACCTTGTTTCCTCATCTGTAAATTAAGAGACATGGACTAGATCAATGAGGCTTTGCCTCAGAATGCCTGGGAAGGGTCCCAGAGTCCACTTGCCCAAGCCCACCCACTCTCAGAGATTCTGTTTCAGCAGGTCTGGGTGGCGCCCAGAAACTGGTAAATTGGTTGTGTTGTGCATTCTTGCTAATCTAACCCTCTGTAACAGGTTGTCTCCAATATCTCACCAGCTCTTCAATTCCAGGGGCAGGTTTAACTGTAACCATATGGGCTCTTTCATTTTTATTTCAGAAAATTGAATTCACTTATCTTCTGCCTTTCTTCTACCTGCAGATGAATTGTGTAACTTCTTAAACCTGACCCCTTGTGAATCAAATAGTACAGGTCACCTGTGAAATTATTGAAGGAAATTTAAGACGTCTGTGCAACTTTTACATCACTTAACTCTGATACCTGTTGAGGGATTTTCTTCTGCCTTCTATAAAATGAACACTACTCTTCCACAGTTCTCATGTCTCAAACAGAATTTGCTCTCTGACTTACAGGTTGTTTACTTTGGTGACAGCATGCATTCAGATATTTTCCCAGCCTGTCATTATAGTAATTGGGAGACAGTCCTCATCCTGGAAGAGCTCAGAGGGGACAGAGACGGGAAGCCTGAGGACTCAGAGCCTCTAGAGAAGAAAGGAAAATATGAGGTAAGGGTCTCCTTTGGTTCTTTCCTTGAAAGAAAAGCCTTGTGTTTCACGTATCCTAGAAAGTGCTTGTTTGTGCCAAGAGAGATGAAATCTGTTGGCACTTACTGTAATCTTCATGCCATCTCAGCTCTACAGTTGATCTTGTGGATAGTTGTTAAATGATGCCAAGATAAATGCTGTTGACCATTAATGTAATGGTCTGTAACGTCTGTCTTCCGAGTTCTCTACTTTCATCCAGTGCTGTGGCACCGTGGCCGTGTTTTGGCTGATGATGAGGCGGCCACATCCTGACTCACTGCAGTTATACTCTACCTCTTTTGCTTGGCCATGAAAGCCCTTGTGCTCTCACTTCATGGGTCTAACTTAACAAAATTGGTAGCTCCCTTAAGCTTACTCCTGAGCCACCCAAAATGAACTTAGGTAAAGACTTGAGGGAAAGAAAAGTAAAATATGTCATAAATCTAGAAAGGGAAAAATAGTGTATATGAGCAAAAATAAGCAGAAAAGAAGAAAGGTGAGAAAATAAAATGCATTTTCCTAAATTCATTCCAGTGGAACAGTCTAAAAAGAAGGGAAAACACAAGTCAAAAAACAAATATCCAATCAAAAAATAACAATAAACTATCAAGCCATGGAAAAACATGGAGTAACCTTAAGTGCATATTACTAAGTGAAAGAAGCCAGTTCCAAAAAGGCTGCATACTGTATACAACTATATGACATTCTGGAAAAGACCAGTGGGTGCCCCGGGGCTCAGGGGGGAAGGAGATGCTCTATTTATCTGGAAACCTAAAACTGTTCTAAGAAATAAAGTCTATTTATTTAAAAAAAAAAAAAAAAAGAGGGCTTCCCTGGTGGCGCAGCGGTTGAGAGTCCGCCTGCCGTTGCAGGGGACACGGGTTCGTGCCCTGGGCGGGAAGATCCCACATGCCGCGGAGCCTGCGCGTCCTGAGCCTGTGCATCGCAACGGGAGAGGCCACAACAGTGAGAGGCCCGCATACCACAAAAAAAAAAAAAAAAAGAAAGAAAAAGGATAGCTATAAGTAGATGCAACTGAATGTTAGAATAAAGGGGTCAGGTTTCTACAAGGTTTCCACTGAGTAGCATTTGGTCTTCAGTGTGACATTGGAAGTTCTGTGGACTGAGTTAAAAAGAGCTTTAAAATAACCTTCCAGGAGGTGGGCCTTCTAATCCGAGGGATTTGGGAGGAGGTTTCCCCTGAAGAGAAATAAGGAGATTTGGTTTCTTCAGAATGATTTGAGAATGCACAGACAGTAATAAGGAAATGAAGAATCAGTGGGAATGTTTCCTTTAGCATTACATAGACAGTAGCTCCATCCCTCTCCCACAGACGCCTTTTCTTGTTCATTAGTTATAAACACATCATGAACAAAGAGTGAATAACTGGCTCTTCGACAGGAAACAGTGAGTCAACAGCTTGAATATTTTATTTCCCAAGATAGAAATGATATAATGTTCCTTTATCATCACACTCCACCTCCCCACCCCAGCCCTGCTCCACTGAACATACATGTCCTTAATAAATCCACCCACTGTGACTGAAGAGACAGGATTTGGTAGCTTTCTGTTGGGTGTACACACACATACACATATTTCAGAACAATACTCAAAACTTTCATCACAACTATCAGACATAAGTAAGAGCTTATTGGATTAGCAGAGATATCTTAATAAGGCCACTCATTAAATGACCAGTCTGACACCATTGTCTTGTTCAACATATACTAAGTTTTTAATTTGTGCAAGCCTCCCTACTATGAGTATCAGGGACTTCTAATTGAATCATACACAGATCCTTTTAACAGAACATATTAGTCTGTGGATAAAAGGGGTCAGGGAGCTTGAGTATACAGATAAAGCATAACTGCGTCCAGAGGGTACAAATTATAAAAGAATTACGAACAAGACAGGATGGATACTTCATTGAGGAAAATTAGTGAAAATTTTATAAAAAATGTAGAATGTGAGGTAAACATTGAAGGACAGGTACATTTTCAACTGATGGAAATAACATTCTTGGTTCAGGAAGTAACATGAGTAAGTGTACAGAGATTGTAATGTACAGGCTACAGTACACAGTCTTGACCGTAAAATAGCAGATGTGTAGGTTTGTCAACCAAAGGCATCACTAGCAGTTTTTGGATGTGCAGGCAACAGGGGCGAAGCTTTCATTTAGCAGCTGTGTGAAGGATGGGCTCAGCACATGGGAAGGGATGCTGTGGTGGGCTGTCCCAGCAGCCCAGACTAGAGGTGATACAAACATGAACAGTGGGCACTAGTGAGAAAGAGATGGAGAGAGTACATGGCGGATGTTCTGGATGCACAGCTAGCTGGGTGCTGGTCGTAGGAGCTGAGACACAAAACATCGATGGTTTTCAAGTGCAGCCAACTGGAATTGATGGGTTTTATTCATATAAATATGGAAGTCATGAGAAAGACCTGGTTTTGTGAGGAGAGAGATATGATTGGTTTAATGTTGAATCCCATTTCTTTGAAATAGCTGGAGGATGAGATCAAACTGGTTTGGGAGATAGGTTAGGATAAGCGAGGAAAACTGAGAGATGTCTAAGGGAGAGAGACAAGAGAGAAAGAGAAGAAAAGAAGATAGAAGCTTGGTGAGAACACTTACCATTAAGGGATGAAATCTATAAGATATAAAGGCTCAATGAAAATAGGAGTGCTCCTTGTTGATATATTCAAGAAATGGCATGATTCTTTTGATTAGTGATATATATTTTTTATATTTGAGAAAATGAGTCATTAAAACTTCAGCATCAGAATAAACAAAGATTACCATCTGTCCATTTTGGCTGCTGTAACAAAATACCATAGACTGGCTGGCTTATAAGCAACAAACATATATTTCTCAGAGTTCTAGAGACTGGGAAGTCCAAGATCATGGTGCCAGCTGATTCATTGTCTGGTGAGGGCCCACTTCCTCATAGACCACCGTCTTCTCCCTGTACCCTCACATGGCAGAAGGGAGAAGGTAGCTTTCTGGGATCTCTTTTATAAGGACACTAATCATGAGGGCTTCATGAGGGCTCCACCCTCATGACCTAAGCACCTTTTCAAGGCCTCACCTCATAATTCCATCATCTTGGGGGTTAGGATTTCAACATATGAATTTTGGAAGGACACAAACATTTAGACAATAACAGCATCCATAATACATTGAACCAGAAAGGGTAAACAGGTCTGTTTTCCTCTTTTCAAAGGAATAATGTGCAGCCCAGATTACCACTCAGTGTTGGCAGAACCATTATCTACATATAGCCTGTGTGATGTGAGTCATTTCTTCTCACACTCATTATTTTAGAAAAGACAATGAAGTAAATAAAGAAAAGTGACACTATAAACTTGTCTTTACACCTTGAGAAATTATATCTAAATACACCTTAAATGTACACACAGAAGCATAGATATTTATATTCCATACTGCTCTTAAATATCTTTGGTGAAATCTAGATAGATTCTTGCTAAGTGATTTCTAAACACCATCACCTGAAAAACACATACTTTCATCTTGCTTCACAAAGTGAGTTCCAGCGCAAAGAATCATGAATCTAAAGGCATATTTGGGATTCTTTGCTGCTCCAAAATGAAGTTTTCATCAGAAAAGGATGACAGATTTTATAATCCAACTTCTATGGACGTGACAGGGTTTTTTTCAATTCTTAGTTTTATACTATACCCATGAAACACTGAGAAGTATTTTTTGAATGAGTCTTATTTAGTCTGCAACATTTCTGTGCCTGCTATGTCCTAGGCACTAAGCCTTTAAGGATACACTAATACATGAGATAGTTCCTAACCTTCTGTAGTTCATAATCTGTCCAGGGCGAAAAGTAAATAGTATGATAATTGCAAGATAGTATGAGAAGTACCATGTTAGGGATAAACTCAAGAGTGTGAGAAAATGGAGGAGACCTAATCCAACGCAACTGTGGGAAATCAAGGAAAATATCCTGGGTGGCATCCAAGCCGGATCCCAAAGGATGAGAAAGGGGTTCCCAAACAAAGCCAGAGGAGAATACACTAAAGGACTACAAAGTTTTGTTTTACTTTTTATATAGTATATAGTCTGGTTAAAGTTAAACAACTGAAATTCCTACACAGTTCTATTTTGATTTACTTATTGGTGGAAAAAACTTATAATGAGGTTGAACACTAATTAATCACAGTTTCGTTATTCTATTTCTTGTTTCAGGGACCGAAGGCAAAGCCTCTAAATAGATTATCTAAAAAATGGGGCTCTTTTTTTATTGATTCAGTTTCCGGACTGGAAAATACAGAAGATTCCTTGGTTTATACATGGTCTTGTAAGAGAATCAGTGCTTACAGCACTATTGCAATTCCAAGTATTGAAGCAATAGCAGGTAAGGCAGATAATACTTATAAAACTTTACCTGCTGCTGGACAGTAATGACCTGAAGTACTAGAATTCTTTTCTTTCTTTTTTTAATTTTATTTATTTTTTTACGAATTTATTTTATTTTATTTTTTTGGCTGTGTTGGGTCTTTGTTGCCGCACACGTTCTTTTCTCTAGTTGTGGCGATTGGGGGCTACTCTTCGTTGCGATGCACGGGCTTCTCATTGCGGTGGCTTCTCTGGAGCACCGGCTCTAGGTGCACAAGCTTCAGTAGTTGCAGCACACGGGCTCAGTAGTTGTGGCTTGCGGGCTCTAGAGCACAGGCTCAGTAGTTGTGGCACACGGGCTTAGTTGCTCTGCGGCACGTGGGATCTTCCCGGACCAGGGCTCGAACCCATGCCTCCTGCACTGGCAGGTGGATTCTTAACCACTGTGCCACCAGGGAAGCCCTAGAATTCTTTTCTTCAAAAGAAGAAAATTTTCCCATGGCATTTATAGATTTTTCTTGGGTAACACCTAGATATGGCAGTTTAGGTAATTAAGACCTGCCTGTCCGCTGAAGCCAACTACAAATGCTGTACTTTTTTTTTTTTTTTTTTTTATTTTGCCTGGAGTCATAGGAGAAAGCTAGGGAAGAGTTACCAGGACAGGATGCTAAGGAGGCCAAGTAAGGTGAACCTGACTTTGGGGGCTACTTATCCCCCCGTTTGCTAACTCAGGAGAAGGCACTCAAAGAAGTGAGTGGGCTTTTCGTAGTTTCATGAACCTACAGGGGTAGAAAGTGGAAGGTAGGGCCTGCCAAAGGAGGGGTGGGCCTGGTGGACTCTCTCAATCTCTGTTGAGACTCTGAAGGATGAATTAGAAGTAGGCATTCACAGGAACTGAAGCTCAGCTTTAAATCAGCTGAATCCCTAAAACTGGATTGAGGAGATTCTAGATTGGTAGTGCCCCAAGGCACCTGGTAAGAATTAATGACTGTTCTCTTTTGAGGAAGATAACATCATTCTAGGACTCAAATTATTTCAAAAAACAATTAATACAAGGTTCAGCACATAATGAAAAATAACCAGGCACACAAGGGTACGAGACTACACTAACAGAAATAACCAAGTCCAAGTACAGAAAAGAAAGGAATGAGAAATTTGGTAGCTATGTAAAAACTAGTAAAAAGGGGAAATTCTAAAATTGAAATATTAAAAAGTAAAAATTAAGAACTTAATGGATGGGTTTAACAGAAGATTAGACACAGGAAAAGTGAATTAGTACGCTGGAAAATAGGCCAAAAGAAAATAGCCACAATGAAGCCTGAAGAGAAAAAAGCATGGAAGATACAGAAGAGGGACTAAGAGACACAGGAGATATAATGAGAAGGAATAAGATTCCTATAATTAGAAACTTAGGAGATGAGAGAATAAGCCAAAAGCAATAGCTACAACAGGCTTTCCAAAAATGATGAAAGAAAATAAGCCAAAGGTTTAAGTAGCCCAAAGAACTGAAACACAATACATAAAGGGAAATCCCAAAGTTAACTGCTAAAGACCAGATAATTAAGAAATATTAAAAGCAGTCAGAGAATAAAGACAGATTGATCTCAAAGGAGTACTTCATAAGTGTTAGACATCTGACACCTCAGTCTTCCCAGAAACAAAAGAAGCCAAAAGACAGTAGAATGATATCTTTAAATTGCTGAAAGAAAATGCTTGTCAGTCTTGATGGAATTCGATACCAAGTAAAGATATCATTAAAGAATAAAAGAAAAATATTTTTAGACAAAATGGAGAAAATGTATCTCTAGAAGACCTGCACTATATAGAAAATACTAAAGGGTCTTGTTCTTCATGCAAAAGTGAGAATGATCCCTCTTGGAAGACTGGAGATGAAAGAAGTGAATATACAGCAACAAAAGGATGTATGAATAAATTAAAATGAATATTTACAGTTAGAAACAATTTTTTTAAATCCTGTGGGGTTTAAGTAAAGAATTTTAAGACATATGACACCAATGGCATATAAATCACAAAATGGGACAGCTGGAGTTAAATGTGTTCTAACATCCTTTATTATATGGCAAAGGATGAGAGTATGTTAGTTATTAAGTCAAAAATGCATCTCGTAATCTCTAAGATAACTACCAAAAGCATTGTAATGATATATGTACCGAACTAATTATGTAAAATAATTTTAACCCCCCCCAAAAAAAAACAAAAATGGAGAGAAAAATGGGGAGAATGGGAGGCAGAAAGTTTGAATATCAAGATAGAAAGAGACAATACCATGTTAATGGTAACCAAAAGAAAGTTAGAGTTAGCTCTATTAATATGAAGGGAAAAAAATCCCTTAACATGAAAGAGAATCACTTCATAATAATAAATTCTGGTTTCAGAAACAGTATCACTGAAAGTCCGAGGTATTCACCCTCTCTTCTCTCAGGTCAGAATTTAATCCCTCCCTGTTTTCTCAATACCAAGAGACTGCTGAAAAATCTACTGTGCTTTAGAGGGGTATGTTTCTGCTTGCTTCTTAGTTTCCTGAAGTTCCCTTGAAGGGCTTGAGTCTAGAATCTGGTTCTCCACCCCTTTGTTTATAGCAGGTTCCAGCCCCTCACTTTTTGTCTCTGTAGCCCTTCAAGACTGCCAAAATCTCTTCTGGTTTTTCTGCTGCTAGTAACTGTCCCTGCCCCGCCCCCAGCCAGAATTCTGGTGCCTAAAGAGAAAAGCTGTGGCAGAATGTTGGCTCACTTCACTGAAGCTTGTTCCTTCCCAGGAAGTGTTTGTCCTCAGGTCTTAGTTGCCTCTTCAACTCTCCAATAACTTCACTCTGATATTTTTATTTTATCTAGCTTTTCTAGTTGTCTCAGCTCCAATTCAGAAGTGGAAGTCTACTTTTTTTTGAACCTCAGATTCTTCTTCCTTAAACTGGGTATACCACCCTCACAGGGTGGATATGAGAGAAAGTAAAGTAAGATATTTATCTGATATTTATTGGTAGGATGATGATGACCCTAAGATATGTGTGACCTTCCAAAAGGTCCATCCACTATGCCATTATACAAATCCAATATGTCAATATATCTTACTCACTGAAATAATATCTCATTCTCACCAGTTTCAAAAGATTGATTTTTTTTTTCATTTTGTTCTATGCTTACACACATAAAATTAAAGGATATATTTCTTCCTTTCACATACAATTTTCCTATTAAAGAAATGGACCCTGTAACTTGAAGGGAGGGCCTGGCCCAGGACTAAACTATTATTTTCAATTTTTTATATTTCACTCTTTCTTTCCTTCAAAGTGACTCAAATTTATAGTGAGAGAGTAGGGTTGTGTGATAATAGAAGTCACTGAATTATTCTAAAGTACCTGGATAGAAACTGTTCAGTGGGATATAGTTGTGAAATAGTAAAAGAGTCAAGGAAAAGTGACTCTCTATTATTCCAGGATTTAAATATTTCTCAAAAAATGGGAAAATAATCCCCTGTCTGTCTTCTGGGGTAATCACTTCTCCTTAAGGAAGCAGTAGTAACATCAGTGTGGCTCCCATTTTCACTTTCCAAAAGCTTTCTTCCTCAGCACCCTGGAAAAGAATTTGGCAGAGCCTTTGTCTTCTAACTTTTTAGGACAAAATACTTCGACTCACCAGTAGTCAAACAAAGCTAAAGAAGTCAATTTGGGGTTGGGGGGGAGAATTAGAGAGTTGGTAAGTTATATTTGATTGTCGATTTTGATGTCCAAGACATTGCCTCTAAAAGCAAAGTGTTAGTCTCTCTTTAACTTAGCACTCATTGCTTATGATCACATTCTCATAAGGAAATTATATCTCACACAGAATTTGAAATTTACTATTTCAGTAACATATTCAGTAAATTTGGATAGTACTGTGTAATTGACCTCCAAGTAAGAAAAATGGCTGAAAGAAAAATGGTGTGATGGTCATGGCTTTAGACATATTGAAGATAGGATCTTTATATAAATGTTATCCTGCTAGTATCTTTAAAAAAAGTCCCGAGAGTTGTTCTGTTTCTGTCTGTGTTGTTTTACATTGAACTTACTGTTTAAGAATATTCATTTTGGTTCTCTTCATTTAATTATTAGATAATGTGGTTGATATTATGGTGTATTTAGTACACAGAGTTTAATAGAACATCATTGTGGTAAACAAGAATTTGGTTCTTTGTCTACCATTCTCTTTTCTTCCAAAAAGCACCCAACAGTGACTTTTCTAAGACATGCAAATGTCTCCCTCTTGTTGAATCCCCAATCTGGATGTACTTGTTTTAACACAATAGTAATCTGATCTCAGTTTGGCTATTCCATACCCAGATTTCTTAACCTTAGTAGACTTTATCTGCTACCTAGGAGAGAGAATAAAATTTTTGTTTTAAATGAGATAGGAAATGAAAAACCTGATATTCCCCCTTTTTTGTATTCATGTAATGTTTTTTTATTCATCAATATTCTGTTAGATGTGGTTCTCTCATTGACATTTAAATGCTTAGGAGGTATTTGTATAGATGTTATAAAAGTTTGCAATATACATTACCATGATGGTTGGTTTATAAGCATTTTGATAATGTAATCATTTTAACCTTATAACAGCTTTTAAAACATTTACTTTAGGAAGTGTGTAGGAAATACAGAGAAAGAGGTGGCTGGGTCAGCTCGCAGCCTGTATCATTTTTGTGGCTTATAAGAAATCCAGGACCTCAGATGCACTATTTTAGAAACTCAGTTTTTATCAATGTACTTTCCAATGTATTTTAATGAGCCTTTTTAATGGCTCAAAATATGCTCCAGCTAATTTGAAGCAGTGAAGGCCAGTGAAATTCACTAATACAAATGTTTTTCTGTTTATAGTAATCTTAGCTTTCTCTGGCCTCAGAAAGGCAGTGTTCCTTCTGCCCAATCTTTAGCACTAGTTTTCTCCTCATAAGGATTAACTATTTGGGTCTTAATAACTCTCACTGGCATTTAATATAAAGTGTAATTTTTATGTTAGTATCATTTTCAAAATACTGAGTACTACCAAATAATGTTTTACTTGTGAAATTTGTGAAATAAGGATGACTACCCAGTATCTGCATGTGGAATGACTATCATTACATGACATATAACGTTTCACTTGTAATATTTCTGGTAATGGTTCTTTGAAGAGGCTTGGGAAGAAAATATCTGAAGGCTAGCTTTTGAGATACTTATATTGAAGATGTCACAGTGTCCCACCATCAATAAAGTATGAATTTTATGTTCTCTCCCCCCCTCTTGTGGCTGTGTGTTTGTGTGTGTGCGTGTGTGTGTGTGATGCTTATCATATGGAAAAAGTTGCCATATTGTGCATATTAGAATTCTTATTTAGCTAAGCATTCAAAGATTATTCTTAGTAACTATTACTAAGGGCTATGAAGATTATTAGTTCTCATTTACCAGTTACATCATGCAACCTATCCACGTGACAAAAGAAATATTAAAATTATGAAACTAAAAATGTTTTATTATCAATGACTATCAAATTTCGATTTGTTTATATTTATGAAAGTTCTTTTGAAATCTGCAGAATCTTTTTTTTTTTTCCCCAGAATTACCCCTGGACTACAAATTTACAAGTTTCTCTTCAAACAATTCAAAAACAGCAGGCTATTATCCAAACCCTCCATTGGTCTTATCAAATGATGGGAAACTGACAACCAAATAAACTATGTTTACTGAAAAGTGAAGAACCATATGTACAGCAAATGTACTGTAAAAATGTTAATTTTCAAAAACTACTGTAAAAGCTTTATAGAAACAAATTCTTAATGAAGTGACCAAGAAATTGGTATGTTTTTCCATAGGTCTTCTTTCTATAGAGATCATCTTGATACCCAGCAACTTTCATTATGTTAAAATCTCAATATCTTAGAACTGAAAAGAATCTTATTAATATTTTCTATACTAGCAGTTCTGAGATTAGAATCACCTGGGGATATATATACATACACATGCATATTTACACATTTGCCTAGACCAGTGGTTCTCAAAGTGTGTTCCCCAAACCACTAGCATAGCAGCACCTGCAAACCTGATAGAAATGCAAATTTACAGGCCCCATCCCAGACATACAGAATCAGAAACTCTGGGAATGGGACCCAGCAATCTGTGCTTAATTACAGTGTGGTTCACACTAAAGTTCAAGAACATTGACTAGACCATAACCTCCAGACATTGGTTTAATTGGTCTGGGGATACAGATGAGCATTGATGTCTTTAATATGCCCCAGGAAAATGCAGCCAGAATTGAGAACAACTGATCTACACCTGTTGTTTCAACTTACAGTTCAGAACACCAAGTCTAGTAAGATTAAATTATTTTAACTATGCTATTTTTGTGGTTACCAAAGCAAGGAAGTAGACATGATGTCTTCTGAGACCACACAGCCATAATGGGACAGGGATGATAGAGAAGCCAACTGTTTCAGCCTCCAATGTTACCCATTAGGGTTTTTTTCCTCCCTAATAATGTTAAAGGCTGTTTACTTCACTCTAAGGCATGTAATCTCAGTGGGGCAAAAATTGGTTCTTGGGGTGAAAAAAATCTTAGTATAATGCAATGGATTATGGTCCTCCATATGTCAACCCTACTCAATAAAATCTTATTCCTTAGTATTAATTTCTCTCATTAGGGAGAAATGTAATTTAAAGTTAAATTTATTAAATATTTTTCTCCTAGGGCGGGGGGGG